TGCACTGTGACCAGTGAGGCCTGCAACCCCACTCTGCTCTGAATTTGGACAGCCCAGTATTAAGCTATTTACTATTCTAAGCTGAATCTCTTTCTCTCTGGATGCCCATAAATTTTACCCTCAAACTAAGACACTTTACTTAATTAAAACAAAACCTTTAATTTCAATTTCAACACATTTATTTTTTACAACAAAGATGTTTTGTAACCAGTGCTAGACCACTTTTACTGCATCTTGCATTATTCTTCAGGAGAACCATGCCTGGTAGCTGAACTATATCATAGTACTTCATTTCCTGAACTGCTTTAACATATGATCTAATTTGAACTTACTCTCTTGGTTTTCAAACTCTCCAGAAACTTAATTCACCTTATAATAATTAGTGACCTCCTATTCACCCCATTCTCCAGCTATGATTTTATTTACTTATTTGTTTATCTGGAAGCACTGTCTCAGCTGCACCCTGTTTGCAACTCTGAACCTCTAAAAATGCCTTTCCTCCCTACCTAAAACCTCACTTCCTGTAAAGCTAGGCAACTGCTGATTGGTAAAAAATGGTAAATCAATTTAACAAAATAATTCAAAATCTCAGCATCTCTCTACAATATTTGAGAAGCATCCACATTTTGGTTTGCTTATTGCTTTTCAAAGTAGCTTTCATTTTTATTTTTATCAAAATGTTTGTCTTTTATCAAAATTATCATATAAGATTTTTAGTTCATAAAAATCACATTTTCTTACTAAAGACTAGGTAATGAAAACTCCGAACAAGTAGCCTGAAAATGAGTTTGATAAAAAAAATTAATGGACTACAGAAAGCTTCAACAATATTTGCTTTTTAGTCCAATCTCCCCCCAAAAGGATATTTTTCAAACAAAACTACTGATCAATATTGCTTGTTTGGAAGACAATTCTGTTTCACAAGAATTTTCAAGGTTTGAAATCTGTTTCCTGTTCTACTCCAGAATGAAAGAAAATCTTTCAAACAGACATTAAACAATTACATTTTGTCAAAATATCCAATATCTGCTAAACAAAACCTCAGTTTTTGAGCTACCAAAATGATAAGGAGGGTGTATCCAGGCCATTGGCCTGAGATCTGGAAGACCTTGGTTCAAGTTCCTTTTTCAGAGAAAAAAAATCCATCCCAGATGACTGAATAAAGCACAGCAAGAACTGGAGCCTGGATCTTCTCACATCCTGGGACAGTGCCCTAAACACCAGACTACTGAGTGTGAGAAATCACTCTTCGCTGCCCCCTCTTTATAAAAATGCATTGAAATTGACATCCAATGGGAAAAAAGTGCTGTCAAAACCACTTTGTCTAGTTGCACTGGCCATACTACACTTTAAGTCACTATAGAAAAATGTTGGATACCTCACAGTGGATGAAATTCTAACCTTTACCACTATATTGACTGCTTCAGGGAAGAATGAGCAATGAAATAATGAACAACACATGCCAGGATAACAACCTCTCCTCTTAGAGATATAGGGCCATAGAATCCCTAAGATCTAACCACCAAATAGTAATAAAACCACAGGACGAAGGAGAAGCTATAGTTATCCTTAACCATGAAGACTACACAGAAGAAGCCAACAGACAACTCTCTGGCACCATCTATTACAAAAACTACAGGAATATTCTACTCCCCTTTTCCACTTGAAACTCAAAACTACCATCAAATCATTTCCATCAGAACTACAAGAAAAACTACAGAACTTGATCCCATCACTACCCAACCCCAGGACTTTTTACATACTCCCTAAAATCCACAAACAAGGTAATGCTAGCAGACCAAGATATCCAACCATGGAGCCCTCACTGAGGAAATATCAGGTTTCATTGAATCAATCCTAAAACCGCTTTCCACGCAAAAAGCAAGTTTTGTACAAGACACAACAGATTTTCTACAGAAAGTTAAAAACCATACACCACACTTCTAGCCACCATGGACATTACCAGTTTATATATCAACATCCCACACCAGGATGGCATCCAAGCCTGCCTTACATATATATCTACAAGAGCAAGATTACAACTCAAAGTACAGACCCAAAGATATTACCGAACTTATACACTTCATCCTCACACACAGCAACTTCACTTTCAATAACCAACACTTCCTCCAGACCATGGGCACAGCTATGGGTACCATAATGGTCCCACAGTATGCCAACCTTTTTATGAGCCACCTGGAAGAAGATTTCTTCAAGAATTACACCATCAAACCCTTGCTATACTTAAGATAGATCAATGATATCTACATCATTTCCACCGAAAACCTGCAATCTATTATTACATTCCACTAGAAATTCAACAACCATCACCCTCCATCAGACTCTCTCTCAAACACTCCAGCACCAACATCTCCTTTTTAGACGTGACGGTCACTATCCAGAATAGGAAAATACAGACCACCATATACAAGAAACCCACGGACCAACATACATATCTGTACAGAACCAGAAATCACCCTAAATACACTGAGAAAGCTGTAATATACAGCCAAACCCTCCGATACCACTGAATTTGCACTGAGAACACCCGTAATTGTTACCTCGCAAATATCAAACTGGCTTTCACTAACAAGGACACTCCTCCAGAGTGAGATCTCCAGGAAGATCACACTTTTGAAAGAGCAACCTGGATACCACGTGAAGAATTGCTGCAGTACAGAAGAACCCCCCACCCATGAATTGCACACTGCTGGTTATGACATATCACCCCTCCCTGGAACCTGTATAGGAAGTTATTAAGCAAATGCAACCCATACTAGAAAAAGAGCCAATTCTTAAAGAGATCTTTCCAGAACCACCCATCCTAGCCTTTAAACAAGCACCAAACCTCACCAACCTCGTCATCAGAAGCAAACTTCCTGTGGCCCAAAACACACCAAATGGATCCAGACCTTGCCAGGACAAGAAATGTAAAACCTGATAACACATCTCCACCACCCCCACAATTACTACACCTCACACCTCCATCAACATTCCTGGATCTTATATCAACATCCCCAGAAACGTAATATATCTCATCCAGTGCACCAAATGCCTTGATGGAAATTACGTAGGAGAAACCAAACAACAACTGCACACCGTAATGAACACCCACCAAAAATCTATGGAAGACAAAAATATCCAATTACCTGTGGGGGCACATTTCTCACAAAAAATCTACGCTCTCTCCAATGTCTCAGTTCTAATCCTCAAAGGGAATATACAAAACACCTTTCGTAGGTGAGCCTATGAACTTCACTTCATAAATCTACTGGTTACAAAAGATCATGGACTAAATATAGACATTGGATTTATGTCACATTATAACTTGCCTAACATCTGACTCCCCAGGTAACCTGCACATTTTCTACTAGCTATATTTTTTCCCCTTCCTTCCCCACCTCCTCTCACCCACTGACTACAGCTACATTCATTCCCCTCCCCCGCACCTGTCTCTCACCCATTGACTGCCTCAATTTACATTTTCACTGACTAACTTTCTTGCATCCGTGATGGCCCCTGGCTGCTTTACTATCCCATCCAGAAAGAGCCCAAACCAGCTGCAAATGCTTCCTCAGCCTGACAAAGGGTATTTGTACCTGAAAGCTTGCAAAGAAGAATTTTTCCAACTATTTGAGTTGATCTAATAAAAGATATTGGATTTACCTTGTCTGCCTATAGAAAAATGAATGGATCCTAAAACTGCTGCATCTTTCCAGAACATCATTATCCCAATCTTAAAATTAACATTTGGTCTTATTTTTCACATTTTTCCAGATAGCCAACCCATATTTTTTTTCTGATCACAAAAGGCTGCTAATATTAAACTAAGCTTACTACATTAGGGTAAACAAAGTACTGTGTGCATTCATCTTTTACTCTATGAAGAGAACACTGCTTTAAGTGGGAAGATTGGATTAGGTAATAATTAAAGATTTAAGTGACCTGCACTTTAACATTAAAGGGACTTGTGCTCCTATATTGTGCCCAAGCTGTTGAAGGAGATCAGAATCCAGCTTTTTCCCCAGTGAATAAGCAGGGAAGCCCACTATACATTTAACTGGTGATAACATATATTTACCTGCAGAATATTATTGAATCATATTATTGAATCATAACACAACTTGTGGAATGACAGCATTAGGCACTGTGAATTTTGGAATTCTCTCATCAAGCCGAGAGACTGAGGACACATGTAATCATTTTTTTGTCTAAATGACAGAACTTAACCATCACATAGAATAACTATGTGGCTAGTTTTGGCTTTTATTTAAAAAAACAAACAAACAAACAATCAAAAATGATGTACCACTCACCAGCTTTAATCAGAAGAGAATATACAATATAAATAAAAATAAACATTTTGATCTGAAGGGGAAAGGTAGAAAAAACTATAAAGACATTTCCCATTAGTGAACCAACAGATTTTAACCAGAAAACTCATCTCTAAAATTTATTCTCAATCAAAAAAGTAATGAATGACTGATATTACAATAGAGACAGAGAGAAACAGATTGGGTTTAACATTTGATGTGGGAGAGCTGGCAAAGCAAGTTATGGTTAAAGATTTGATGAAATTAGATGAGATTAAGAGCCCATCAAATTTTAGATACAATTCATTCTAAATTTTGATAGGTGAAAGTTAAGTAACAACATAGCAATTGTTTCAGTACAGTGCGACTGTTTTTAGTATGTTATGAGTGGGATTTTCTAAAATAATGACTGTTGGCCTAAATTTGCTCCCACTGAAATCAATAGAAAAATTCCCATCAATTTCAATAGGAAATGTTAAATCAGCTGAAGGAAGTGTTTAAAATTCCCACTTGGGAGCTCACTGATTGCTGCACTTGTAAAAAATTACAAAGCTGAGTTTTCCTAATGTACGTAAGTTGATTTTTTGGAGTTCTAATTTGAAATTTCATTCAATTTTTATTCAATTATTCAACAATAATAATTCATTATTTTTAAATTAACTTCACTTTATATATGCTTTTTCAGACCTTTGTTGCTGCTTGATTGTCTCCAATGCAGTTGATTCTTTCTCCTATGTCTGTCACTGGGCATTCTGGAGAAAAGTCTATTAAAAAAATACATGAAAGGATTATTGCCAACCAGTATCATAATGAGGAATGGGCGACCACAACATCAGCCCCAGGTACCCACTAAGAGAGGGCACAAGATGGCAGCTGCTACCACTACTGCAACCAACCTGTTCCTGCAACCACCCCTACCACTTCAGGCATAGACTCTGGTAGTTATGCCTCCTACCAATGGCTCTGAATTATAGAAATGCATTACATTTTTAAATAATTAAAAAGTTTGAAGGTCTGATTCTCCACTACCTTGATGTTTGTGCAGTCATTTATCAAGAAAGAAAAAAAGGGGTTTTAGCATTCTAATCTAGTATCTGATACATGTCTTCTTCAGGTATACAAACTAGAGCACAGGAAAGCAAACAGTTGTTTCTTATTATTCATCAAGATATTTGACTTGTTTTTTAGTTACAGCTAAAAATGAAGATATACAATGGGAAAATGTTTCACAGAAATCCTTTAACAGTATTCCCAAAATAAAAAAGTAGAAGAATTATTGCTCTGCTTTCTACTGCTGTATTGTTATACCTACTCCTTTCCCTGCATATGCTTTCTACCACAAGGTCCAGACTTTGGGTATTAAGAAGGCTCAAAGTTTTTTTATTTAGATTTGTGGGTGTCTAGTCACCAGCATTCTTAGGAAATCCAAGATCTTCAACTGGCAGGTGGCACTGAAGAGGTGTTAGAACCAGAACAGAAAAGCTTACAAATGTTATCCTAATATGAACTGCATGTGTGAGTTTATTAGATTATACAGGAGATATATTCACTTTATGTTAGCACTTTTTATATTCTGTATGAACACTTGGGCCACTGAAACATATTATGCTTAAGACATGATTAAATGGTTAATGGTGAGAGTGGTGGGAAAGAAGGGCTTCCTCAAAAACATAAACCTCCCTCCCTCTCACTAGTTAATCACATCTTAAGTTGTTACCACATTTTAATGTAGTTCATGGCTGCATTAAAGCAAAGAATAAGCCACAAAGTTATTACACAAAAATGTGTAATAACATCGTGGCTGGTTCCTATCGATGCTTTTAATCGACTGTGTGGCCAAACTGTGGCTCCCAGCCATAGGGTGTGCTCCTGTGGCTGGGTGGCCCCCCTAGCCGGCAATTATTAGGTCTCCAACTGGTGGCCCCCAGCCATAGGGTGTGCTCCTGTGGCTGGTAGCCCCCATCAGCTGATAGTTATGAGTCTCGGGGGCACATGGTACACCCCTGTTCCTAAGAACCTGGATCAGCTGACAGCTCTCAGCTGTAGGAGTGCATGGTGAGCCCACGTGGCTGGGAGCCCCATCAGCCATGGGAGCTTGCTACTTGCCAGTGCAGGCAACAATGTACTGGCAATAGTGCATTATGGGATCTGATTCTGGATTAAGCCCCAACCAGATGGGATCTGATTCTGAATTAAGCCCCATCAGCTAATGGGGCTCCCAACCATGGGAGCTTGCTACTTGCCAGTGCAGGCAACAGTGTACAGGCAACCCTGCATGATGGAATCTGATTCTGGATCCCACAGTCACACCTCCTCCCATGCACATGTGACATGTCAGGAAGTGCAATCGTGAGGATCCCATGTCAGATTTCATCCTGTCTTCACCTGCACATATCAGGGCCTGGCACTTATACACCCAAATTATAGTAGTTTATTATTTATTGGTACATTTGAAAACAGCTTTACCACCTTTATAATTATGACTGCTTTCCCACACTTTACAGAATCTTGACAATCAATTTGGACTTCGTTACAAATTACAGTTTCCAAGTCATTTTAAATGGCAAAATTAACTAATTAAAAGTATAAGACAATGGCACATACACCAAAGGACCAGACTATATTTAAAGATGAAATTATATTAATGATTCATCAGTATGGCTGTGAAATGAAAACAAGTATTTGAAGTTCATTCATTCTTATACACCAGTGGTTACAAACATACAGCCTGCGGGCTGAATCCTGGCCATGGAGCTGTTTTACCCAGCCCGTGGAGCTCCAGGTGTGCCAGAAAATTTGGGGACAGAGCCTGTCATAGAATCTGGGCATGCCAAGCCCCACAGGTCATAGCCATTACTGGCAGGAGGACGAGTACAGGCTGTGGCAGTAAGCTACTCACACTACTGCCACTTTGCCCACTGACATTTACTCTGCAGCCACTTGCACTGCCTCTGCCACAGCTGCCTCCATTACTGGGCCTGCCACTGCCAGATTGGGATTCTGTCCCTTAGGAGTCAGCCGTCCAGATCTGGTCCAGGTTGGGGTGGAGGGACAAGTTTGAGTCTGATACCCCTGCTGTACACTATACATGCAGGGGAAATATGGGCAGACACAATGGCAGTGGTGGGAGAGCAGGGATTCTCCAGAAACATAAACCTCGCTCTTTCGACTGCTCACCAAAGGCTTTGTTCAAAAAGTGAAATTCACACTTCCTGGCGCTGGAGGAAAACACAGTGTTGGGTCCAAGGCTTTTTTGCATCTGCCTTTAAAGGCAAGGAGAGTGCAATTATGGTCCGTTGACAATATCAGGGCCCCATTATACCAAATTTTGAACAAATGCACAGGGAAATGAAATCCCTGCCTCAGAGAACTTATAGTCCATTCATTAAAAAAAATAAACAAACCACCATTTGTGAAAGGATCCATATAAATTCACAGCCGCGTGCTTGAACTTTGCCTAAAAGAGTCCGATTCAAAGCCCATTGAAATCAGTGGAAATACTCTTTTATGAGCTCCTATGGAGCTATTCCTGCTTGACATTTGGTTTCTGCAGTTTTATACATAAATAATTGTTAATTGTTACCTTCTTGACCTTCTTTGACTCCAGACTGCCTTGTTGCTAGAAGTCCAATCAGAACGCAGGCTATAATCACTACCAAACAGAACAGGACTATCAGCGAGATTTCAAGGTGACTGAACTTTTTTCTCCCCATCTTCAGAAAGCAAAAACCAGAAAAAGAGAGAAAGAAAGAGAGAAAGAAAAACATCAGGAATCTGCTTGTTAAATATCTAGCAAATATTTGTTTTAAAAATATATCTTTTGACCAAGGGAGTTAAACTAAAACCATTCCTTGAAAATAAAATATAATATTACCATGTTCAGATTCATTCAAATCAAGCTGGAAGTAAACAAAAATGTTCATTTTCAGTCAAGTTTGAGATTTATATTTTTTTTAATGAAAAATATTGAAACTGAAAAAAAAATCAATTTCCTCAACTAAACTAAAATTCCACGTTTTATTTCTTCTACAAATAAATAAATAAATAATTGTGTTTTATTTATTTCTTTTTTAAAAATCCACTATATTCCTTGAAATTGTGCTGGTAAAGTGTCCATTTATATTAAAGGCAGACAAGTTTCTTTGGGTAAATCCGATGTGTTTTATTAGACCAACTGAAATAGTTGGAAAAATTCTTCTTAGCAAGTTTTGGGCAGAAACACACTTCATCAGGCTAAGGAAGCATCTGCAAACATAAATTTTCCTGGATTTATATTAAAGGCATATGTTGTTGAATAATATTTCACAAACCTTGGTTTGAATGAGCTCTATAATAGGCGTGCGCGAAACGGCTAGCATTCGCTTTGGATTCAGATTCAGCCAATTTGGGGGAGAGTGATTTGATTTGGTGATCATTTGTGAATTGCCCCCCATGCAGTGTGGGGCAGTGGGGGGCACCAGGGATCACCCCCCGCCCCCTGCCTGGAAGCACCCGGTGAGCCCGGGTTTTTTTTTAAAGCACCGGGAGCTGGGGAGGGTGGGGCAGACATGGGGGGGCTGGGGGAGTGGGAGGTCCCCTCCCCCCCCATCCCCGGCCATTTACCAGCTCCAAGTCCAGCTACAGCTCCCTGCTGCAGCCACCAGGGACTGTCCAAATCATCAAAGCTCTCCAAATCTTTTCCTACCTTTTAATTGGTCCCCTGATTCGATTTGGATTAGGACATTCAGCCACCGAATTGGGCCAAATCTCCTCCAAATTGAATCTGCACCTGAAGCTTGGCACAGCCCTGCTCTATAAATATTATTGTCCATGTGCAGTGGAAGTAATAATGCCATGGATCAGATGCAATTGTAATGGTGGTATAAGTTACATAGTAATAAATGTAAGAGTATAATAAATACAAGAGTAAAAGTATATTAGTAAACTAGGAGTATAAGCTGGGGGTAGTAATGACTGCTATGAATAGAACATTGAGAAGTTAAGGAAGTGAATCTGTTGCAGCTACAGCGGGGTGGAATGTGCAAGTGGGGTTAAAGGCTGAGTTTCTGCAGCAAGTTCATACTTCCCCTTTTGTGACTGCATTTCTGCATTCAAATATTGCTTTTTTCTCAGTATCTATACCAGGAGAGGAAGGCATGCCCTGTTCACACATGTGTATGGAATATTTAAAATGATTACTTCTATTATTAGCATTACTATTTTGGTATGTATGCTTGATCTTTTAGCATGTGATTTACAAGGAGAAATATACCAGCTGTTCATCTGTGACAAGATCCCAAGAGAGACAGAACACTTAGTGAAGTTAGGAACTGTGCCATCATTGACAAACACTTACTGTTGAAGTGTTTGGGCTGCAGAGCCAACTGTTCAATCTTGTGTGAAAAACAACACAGTACCATTTATGTTTAACTTTACAGCAGCAACAAAACTAATTAAAACTAATCTCCAGAATCCAGATCAATACACCAGCACGGGTGACTGTATTTTTCATTTGGTTAAAAGATATTTACCTGATTAAATAGGCTGACCCATGGAAAAAAAAAAAAACACTTTTTTCTACTTAGTTAAAAAAAGAATAAATATAGTTTTGCTAGTGCAAACAGTATCATATTACTCATTATGCTGAAACTTCAGAACACTTGCTTGCTGCACTAGTCATTAATACTGAGGGGAAAGAAGGAAGATTAACCAAAGCACACTTCAGTAGTGATTCACTTCCCCATATACTCTGAATAATCTCTCTCCTTCCTTTACTTCCATTGATTAAACAACTCACCACCACAGGGACAAACAGGTAGCTTATTAACTTATGGAGAGAGAGCAGTCTCTAAGAAAGAGTAAAACTATGATACGATTCAAAGTATAGTTTTCAGTAAGTTGAATCATCAAGCAAAAAATACGTTTATAAATTGTACAGTACTGTTCATGTTTTATGCATTTTATAAGGCTCCCCAGATACATTTCAAATTAAAATCAGCGGTAGTTTTCCTGGTGAGTATTGTATCTAAAGCCTGTATTATTATATTGAAAAATATACATTGAATATATTGTTCAATTCTATAAAGATGAAATTATAAACTGGCTGTTCCTCTCAGTTAACATTTTGAAATTACATTGATTAGGAACATTACAAAGTTACAGCCAGAATTTTCAAATCCACAGTTAAAGGTTTTCTTATCAAACAAAATGAATCAGGATTTGCAGCCCCTTGTTTCTCATAGACCAAATCTGAATACTGAGAAGTTAAAAACAAGGATTTCAAGTACAAATCTTATTGTGTGATGTACCTGTAATAGTTACTGAGGCTCAAATCTCTAGAAATTTGAAGAGAGATTTGAAAAGAGAGTACCTACCTCAAAATCTCTGTTTCCTCTTCCAAATTTTACTTTCAATATGTGTTTTTGCAGGGAAGGTTCAGCTTGAAATTTCCAGCTTCATCCTAAGCACCTACCTATCAGAGGAAGGTATATAGATAATCACAGGAAGACAAACTGCTTTTTGCTGAAAATGGCTGCTATAGTTATTGTAGCCAGGGAATGGCTAGTTAATTAGTAATATTTTTTGCTGAGATATTATTTACCCCACAATGCCCAAGTGCCAACAACCACCTGGCAATATGTTTTTTCTAGGTTACATTCTACTAAACAACTAACAACATTTTCATGGGACCTTGATTTTCCTTATGAGTCATTTCTGCTTTAACTATAATATAAACCTTTTAAAAGTCCTTAGTGGGAAATAAGTTAGACATCACACAGTATGCATGACCAATTAGAATGGAAGTTTACTCTGTGGGAAAGGCACTGAGAGGTTTGTACAGGATACACCTGCTTTTCTTACTGACAAGATATGTGACCCCATTTCCTATTACAAAGACCCTTCATTTGAAATCAAGGAAGATAAATAGTGGAACTTCTGTTCTGAAATCATCCGTAAATTTAATTTGGTTGCCTGAACATCCCACCTCCCAGTGAGACCAACTGAAAACTGAAACCAAAGAGGAATGGGATGTTTCTCTTTTCATGAATCAGCACGTAAAGGAAATCATACCTGTACTGCATATAGTACTCCAGATGGCATCCATCTCAATCCAAAAATTTCACTGATTACAAGGACTCACTGCTTTTTAAATGCAACCTATCTTTAACCTATTTGGTGGTTTTGCCTCCTCTATTTTAATGATATAGAATTATCCATTTGTATGTAAGATCCAGAAATTATGATCAATATCAGTAGAGATCCTTCTTTAAAGTTAGAGAGAGGTAGCTAGCTGTGTTGGTCTGAAGTCAGGCAGAAGGCCAGACAGACTGCACCTAAACATTTAGTCCTTTAGAGAGACTAATTCCAAAGGAATTATTCATTTGGGTGCCACCCTGCCTTGCCTTTTTTAAAGTTGTTATGCTTGGATCATAACATTTCATGAGGATTGCATTAACACGAAATGGCTTTGTATTTCCAGGATCTATTTGAAGTTCATAAAACTTAAGATAAATGTGACCCTATAAGATACTTTGTGCATCTACACAAGACACTGAAAGCACAGTAGACTAATTCTACTGTGCATTAGTGTATCATGTCAAAAACCATGCTAATGCATTAATTCTCAGTAGAATTAGTCTACTGTACATTAGCATCACCTAGAAATGTGCACTGGTGCTCCTACCCAGTAGCACCAATTACAACGCATTAAGTTTATACCTGTTATTACAGGTACTGAATTTAGTGCACTGTAATAATGGCGTATTAATTCACATGTAGATGTGCCCACTGTAGACTGGCCCAATCCAGTAAAGCACACAAACAAATGTTTATTCTAAGCATCAGCTGTTTTACTGAAATCCATCTGGACATATGCTTAAAGTACTTTCCTGAACTGGAGCACAGTATCAGAATTTTTTCATTGCAACTTTCAGGATTAAACTGTTGAAGTATGTATGGATCTTACATTTGGATGGGCCTAACCAAGAGCCAGTCTAAATGGTTAGGTCAATCTTAATGGCCAATGTTAGGTCTTCTTGTTACTTAAAAATTTACTGAAACCATGCTTTTTGTTAGCGGGATTGTTTATTGTTAAGGGTACTGGGGAGATAGATTTCATATAGGCTTATTATGGAATGTTGAACTATAAAGTTTCAGATTGCTTATATCCTGCACACACACACACACAGGTGACACTTACATAGTCCAAATTAAGGTGTTGTAGATAGGGGTGATCAGTCCCTATCCACTGACAGAGCAGGGTGTCTGACTTGGTATGCACAGGCACAGGCTCCAATGGTGAGGCAAGTCCCCCCTTCTATCTTCTTCCTTGCCCTTTTTATACAGTTCATGTTGTTGAGCAAGGTTTTTGGAGTTTTTTCCATAAAGCATGCACTGTCTGGTTGTCACGTAGACCAGTTCCCCTTATCTAGCCAGTTTACGCTGGTCTCTTGCTGGTTCTTCTTCAAAGAAGTTATGCAGACAGCTGGCCCCCAAACAACCTTATCTTTCTGGCTGAAACTGCAACTTCTTTCTTCTTAACTTTTGTTATCTCTTCATGCCACCTGCTTCTTCTTTTTGTTAGTCAGGCATACCACACATGTGCAAACATTCTACATTGAGTTAAGTTATAAGTTTTCTTAACCCTACAATCTAATGGCCCAAGGTTAGGTCAACGTTAGACCCAAGATTAGGTCAACTTAAATGGTCCAGTGTGCAAGTGTGTACAGGGATGAAATCTCCCTAAAAATGGTGCATCTATCTAAAGTTGGTTCAACTCAGAGACGAACAAACTTTAGATCCTCAGTTGGCCTGATCTAAAATGGGTTAACTCACCTAGCAGGCATTCAAAACACAGCTGCAAGGCTGGGTATCACAGCATGGGGTCCCCACACATGGCTGTGATGACCCTAGGGCTCTATGACCATGCTTGTTCCACCCTGCAGGCACCTTCTAATCTCACCTGCCATATCTTGTTGGTTGAAATAATAAATTGGGAGGCTGCCCAAGAGTTTGTGGTCATGGTCCTACTGAACCCCACTAGATCCTGCTGATCTTAAATTCATTGCCAGGTCTCACTCAAAGTCAGTGCCTTGCAGGACATCAAAAGCCATATGGGCTAGATGCATGGCTCCAAAACTGCCCCTTTACCACACCCCATGCCTCGCAGGTGGTATTCAAAAGTTGTCCCTCTGAAGCCTTAATCTAGCTCAGCCTCCTGTTGTCACTGGGCCCTCTGCAGCCCTGTCACTGTGCCCCAATGAGGCCTCCTCCTCCCCAATAGCCTCAACTCGGTCCACAGGTTCAAACAACTAACAACGTAAATACAAGCCCCTGGGCTGTAACATAACAACAACAATAACATTGGAGGTCACACTCTGCCCCTTTAAGGAGGCAAGATTCTTCTTCAGCAATGCGTACCTCCTAACTCTCAATACTTTAGTAGCTCCTAGATCCCATTAGTTTTACCAGCAGCATAATAGGCAACCAAGCACCTCTGAGTAGCATTTCTGCAAGAGCTTCTTCCCCCTAGCTGCCGACAGATAACTAACTTCCTGCCACCCCCAGCCCTAGGGCTTATATCTGCCCAGGGCCCTGTTTCCTTCCAGTCAGCTGACTGGGTGCAGGTGCCAGTTAATACCCTGATTAGCTTACTGCCAAGGCCACCTGAAGCTGTGGAGCCTTGCCCATCTCTCAAGGCCCCCTAATGAAGCTGCCTCTGCTGTTGAAGGAGCAGGCACACCTTAGTGCCCTGCAACACTAGGAAAACCCAATTCCTGACTGGGGTTATGGCTGTAGTGTTTTAATCCCTACAACTACCCTCCCCAGATTGGGCAGCCTCCTCGTTGATCCACCAGCCCTGCCCCCTCTCCCTCTTACCTACCAGCTCCCTGATTCCGTTTGCCCTATGACTTACCTCCGGCAGCTGGGGTGAGTGCTTGCATACAGCAAGCCCAAACTATTGTTTAGGCAGCTCAAAGCAAGCTGCCTAAACTGAGTTGAGTTGTCTGAGTCCTTGTTTTCACCCTTACTAAACATTTTCTGTGCAATTTGAGGATACAAACTGCAAAAATAAAAGACTGAAAGTCCTCTGGCTAAACCATCAGTATCCCCAAAGCATATTTTGATTAGTTTATCAGCACCTAGGATTTCAGCTAGACATATATAGCTGAGCTGCAGAAAAGGGAAATGGAAAAAACTCCATACACTGAATGAGACTGTAAAGAAAACTGAGACATCTATTAAAGCGAGAGACAGTGCAAAATGGACTCTACTATGATATAATTTAGTTTCTAGGAATTAAGAGATGATCCTTTCTTAACACTAATGAATGGAATTGTCAGACCCAAATGAGACTACCTAGACTATGCAATTAGGTCATATATAAAATGTATCATTCAATATGTTTTAAATAATATAAGTTAAACATCAGAGCTTAACGTCTTTCAAAATGTGCTAGCAAGCCATAATCACAAAACAGGTTACACTACACAAAGATGTGAAAATAATTGTTTTGTCAGTTAAACTGAGAAACTGAAAAAAAAAATTGGCTTATTCCTTTCACAGCTACAGAATACTTCTGTCAACCATATTGTTTTGGTATCCAGGATTTACATTAATTACTCTCAGTCCTTTCAGTTCATGCAATAAGAATCCTTCTGCTTACTGGCTAGGGTAGGAATGCAATGACTAAATGATACATAATAAAATATACTTCAAATATTACTTAAAAAGCGAATACAATGGACTTTGAATATTCCGCAGGGCATGTACAGACTTTCCCAATGTTTGTAGTAACAAAATCTACACTGTGATCTTGGCTTAGCTGATAGAGAGTAAACACTGTAGTCATGGTTCATATTTCAAAAAGGAACAGGATTAGCCACTTTCTCTTGTCAATCCAAAAGAGCCCCATGTCACAGACCCTGTCCCAGGACAGAGACAAGGGAGAAAGGCTCAGCTTATGTTTGTGACAAATCTTTAGCCAAAGAAAAAGCTAGTTCCTACTCACTTTTTACACAACTCAGTGCTTCAGTTATTCTGTATATATAATACTTTTGAAAAGTTCTCTAAATTCCTTACATAAAATACACTAGGTAAATGCAAAATAGTTCTGGTTAAATTAATTTTGCTCTTGTATGAATGCATAGAAAATATTTTTCTGAGGATTTGAATAAAACACTTGTATATTATGTATCTGAGGAACTTCTCCTAAATACATTTTATACTAATACTCATTTGAAAACAAGAATATCATCCCTACTCTTCTATTAAGAAAAGCACACAGTGGAATAAACTTTATTTCGACAACATTTTTTACATACAAGGATATAGTTATGGACTAGTGATATTAGTGAATTTTATGGAACTCTACAACCCTTTTATTCAATCATAGTTTGAATACAGTATTAAATGTAGGACCTTGCAAAACCCAATAGCCCAAATTCAGTTCTCTCTTACATCAATGTAAGC